ATTTAAGAAAGGACTTGTGTCGCTAAAGTTTCGTCGGAATAAATTTACGGAAAATTAAGTAACGACTGGAGGAGTAACATTATTATTTTTTTTCATTATCTTACCTAACAACTATCAATTTTTATGATTTTAGTTACTTTTATAATAATAAACAGTTAAAACAAATGAAAAATAAAAACTCCATGATTGAATATCAAGTATTTTTATTTTCAGTAAAGCTTTATATTTTATTTGTTATTTTTTGTACTGTAACATTATAATTCATATTTATTTCTCCAGGTTGTAGGTAAGTAATCAAAGTATAACGAAAATAAAGGTTACAAAATAAAATGTATGGTATTGTTAGTAGTAATTTCAAAGTACTTATGGTCAGAGTTTACACTCTCACCTTTTCATTTATTTTCTGTTGTTATTTTATTGCCAGTAGATGAGTTAGAAATTAGAAGAAACAAAATGAATAGTACTCTGTTCTTTTCAGTACGGACAGTAAAGTTCCAAGTAAATATCCTGAGAGTTTCTTCTAATCTTTTTACACCTATTTCCTATTGTTATTCTATTGTTAGCGGCTGAAGTAGAAACCTGCCGAATTTAAAGCAATGAATCGCCATTCCTAATTAGGTGTTACCGTAGTTTGAATACTTTGACCCCGTGAATATCAAATAAGTTCATGTGGCAAAATTCCCAGAATTTTCACTGCTTTGAAAACACAATGGATAGGATATATCAACTTGTTCAGTATAATGGTTACAAAGACATTTGTCTAAAGTATTATAAAATGTTTATTACTTTGTAGAAAGTTTGGGTCGATCAAATAAATCAAAAAGTGGAAGTATCCTACAGAAACTATTTGGATCACTGCTCTGAGAACACAGTAGGATAGTATTTGCCGGCTTCTTTACAACACAGTAGGTGCAACAAGAATTGTCTAAAGCACTTTAGAAAAGTGAGAGAAAATATTTTTGATATGGCTCTGTACAAAATATAAATTTGTATCCTATCCAGTAAACTTGCTAGTTATCTTACTTGGGAGTTGGGATTCAGTGTTGGAATTGTTGAAAATGTGTGTAAATGCTTACTGACATCCTGTTGCCTATATTACCATGCTTACACAATAACCAATAAATGTGTAGTTTCCAGTAATATAAATATGGGCCATTTTGGCTTGGCTAGTATTCTTGGGTGAGCCTTCTTGATTGTAACTTGAGAAACAAATTATTCACCAGCAAACTGCAAGTTCAACCAGGTGTTTATGTGAAGATGTTCCTTTTCATGTGTTAAGATCAGTGATAAATATATTTCTTAGACTTCACAAATTACATAAATAAACTTTTTATGAATTGACAACTCTTTAGTTTTGTATAATTTGTTTTTATTCTACCTCATTGTAAACTAGTAGAAAAATAACACCAGTTCTAACTTTATAGAATACAGTAACATTGGCTACCATATATTATGTGTGTATATATGTGTGTGTGTGTGTGTGTGTGTGTGTGT